GCCTTGCATGGACTGGGACCCAAGGACTACTCCCCCAAGGGCCAGCAGATGGTGGGGTGGCGTCTGGGACGAGGTGTCCTAGGGGAGGAACGGTCCTGGGCCACAAAGTAGGAGCTGAGAGGGTACTGAACTGGCCAAACACCCACCAGCCTGCCCCAAGGGCAGATGCGCAATCCCGCTAACTGGTGACTGTATCCACCGGTGCTGCAGCCGTTACTTTGTAGCTGGGGCTCCCAACGCTCCCAGAGAAGATCAGGACCAAGAGGAGGCCCAGGGCATGTGAGGAGGAGCAGGGCAGGAGCAAGGGCTGTGGGGGAGTCTGTTCGCAGGGCCCCTCCCAGCAGGGCCAGGCCTCTGCTCTCAGCCACCCCTCACCTTCCACCTGCCCTCCCACCCAACAAATAAACTGAACTGAGACAGCAGCCAGAACACTACACGTTTGTTACACATGGGGGTCACTGTCCCCATGCCCAGAGAAGGCTTGAAAGTGGGAGCTTCCAACCACTGGCCAGGGAGTGTCGGGGACCAGCCCAGAGTCGGTGGGTTCTAGGCCTGGGCAGGCTCTGGGGATTGCAACGCTGAAGGGCCAGGTGGACCAAGGTCCCCGGCGGCCAGGCTTGTGCGCTGGATGCCCTCCTGGTACTTGCGGCGGCCAAGCTCCAAAATGGCCTGCACCTCTTCTGCAACGTCCTGCCGGTCACTCTGCTCCAGGGCCTGCACTAGGAGCCCCACAGCTCCTGGCCGCCCAGCCTGGCGCTCAGCCCAGGAGAAGAGCATATGGCGGATCTGTCCATCCAGGTCGTCCCTGGGGGGATGGATGATGGGGGTATGGTGAGAGACAGGAGAGAGGGGAGAGAGGGGAGGGAAGGGCCTGGCCTAGCCCAGCCCAGCCCAGGACCACCCACCACACCCAGGGTGGTGCTCACCCTCCCCTGATGGGTGCCTCAATCCCTAGGCTAAGGGTGGGCAGACCCTCCCTTCCCTGCCCATTTGCCCTGGCTCCACCTCCTGTGGACGGAACTTCAGCCAGCCTCAAGCAGGGCCCTCCGGGCAGCCAGGCCTAGGCCTGAGGCTTGCCTGAGATCAGTGGCAGGAGGCTGAAAGGAATTCACCTGAATTCATGCCTGATGCGCTGCAGCTCACGGTAGGGCATGCCCAAGTGCAGGGCCACGGCTGGCCAGTCGGGGCCCAGGCGCCCAGCCACAGTCAGCAGGTTGCTCTGGGTCAGGAAGCCAGTCTCAGCGTCGCCCAGGTTCAGAGGTGCCAGGGAGAGGCTAGCCCCCTGCCCTGGCCCCTCCGACCCCCGCAGTCTCTGTGGGGAGGACGCAGTGGCAGTGAGCCCTGGCCCCTGCCCCCAGGTTCCACCCCTGTACCCCTGGCGACCCCCTGCCCCTTCACACACTGCCCCCCACCAGGCCACACCGGCAGCTTGATAGGCAGAGTGGCCATCCACAGGGTATCCATGCCCTTCTTCTGCCGGGCAGCCTCCGCCTCCTCGGGCACCTCCTTTGGCACCTCTCCCCGGTAGAAGGACACCTGGGTGGGGGGATGAGGTGGGGTTCAGTGCTCCTGCCTCTGCCCAGGTGGCCCGGGGGGCCCTACCCCATTGGCTCACCTGGCCCCTCACAGCCTGAGCCTTCCGGTCCAGGGCGGTGGTCACGTACACCTCCTTCACGTTCCTCAGGTGCGAATAGAAGACAAAGCGCAGCCTGCCCTCCACGCAGTCCGGACGGCCTGGGGGCAGGGGTGGGCTCAGCAGGGACCCGGGGCGGGGGCCGAACACAGGGGCCATTCTCCAGGGGCAGGGGGCGTACCGGCATCCACGTCGATGCCTCCCTCAAAGGCAGCGAAGAATTTCTCGCCCTCAAACATCTCCACAGTGTCTGAGGGCTCGGGGCCGCGGTACCGCTCCAGTAGCCGCCGCAGGGTGGCATCCACCTGGGGGGTACCCACTGGCTGGGAGCCCAATGCCCTGCGCCCCCACCTGGCCCCTGGACCCCACTTGGCTGGCTTCCTAACAGGCCCTCCGCGACCTCCAGCCCCCACCCCACACCTTGTTCCGGGGCAGGCACTGCAGCAGGACCTGCTCAGGGTCCCGGCGTCTCTGCAGCGCGATCAGGTTCACGCGGTGGAGCCGCAGCCGCTCCCAGGCCTTCCGGGCCAGGCCCCCACGCAGGTCGCAGTGGTGTACCAGAGCCAGTACCTGGGAAGCTGGGGAGTGAGGTAGGCAGTGCAGACAGGCGGGTGGGGAGGGACTGAGGAAGCCAGAGGGAGAACTGACCAGGAAAAGCGTGTGACCTGGAAGCGGGCGTACAGGTGGGTGAGCTCTAGCGCCACCTGAGCCGTGATGTCATCCCAGGCAGCTGCGGGAGGGGCCCTGTACAGCAGGTGCAGGCGGGAGCGGTCCAGACTCAGGCCTGGGGTGAGAGTGGCCGAAGGCTGAGGCCACCCTGGCAGGGCTCCCTTCTGAGCATCGCTGCCCGCCCCGGGGCCACAAGTCCAGGGATACAAGCCGCCGCCTCTCACCTGTGACGCCGGGGGGCAGAGGCAGCTGCACAGTGACCGGCTGGAGGAAGCTTGGGGGACCACTCTGGGTGAGGCACAGCAAGGGGCTCGCGGCTGCCTCAGGCTCCTCCAGCAGGGCTGGCCGTCCTCTGCTGCCCACGTGCACCACCTGGAGCAAGCAGGCCACCCGAACACTCAGCTCGGTGCTGAGGCACGCCCACCACCCTTGGCAGCTGCCCAGCCCGTACCTGCATGTGGACATGCCGGGGCTCCTCAGTGGCCCCAGGGGGGAATGTGACCTTGACCCCAGGATGTCCCGAGGAACACAGCAATGTCCCCTCTGGTGGCACCAGACAGGTGTTGGACACGGGGCGCGAAACCACAAGGAACCACGAAAAGTGGGGTACCTGGCAGCAGGCCCAGAGCCGCTGGGCGTCGGAGGCAGGGTTAGAGGGAACAGGGTCAGGGCTAGGGTAGAGCTGCTCCCCCTCCCGGACAGGCCTGGACAGCCCTCACCTTGGGTGCCTCTTCCTCCAGGTGGGTCTCCAGGTCACTCCAGCTGTTGTCACTCAGGGTCCTGACCACCACCTCCCGGCAACGCCGGGCCCGTGGTGGCACAAACAGCAGCCACAGGCCCACCTCCTGCCAGGCAAGGGCAGCATGAGCGCTGGGGCCAGACCCGTGCCTTCCTCACCCACCCCCCGAGCCGCCCTGGCTGTGCCTGCAGGAAGGCCACCCCGTGGGGCTGCAGCTCCAGGACACCACTGAGCAGAGAGTCATGAGGACCCAAGGGGACGAGGCGGGGCTCCGGCAGCCACAGTCGGTAGCGGATGGTAACAGGGGTGGCAGTGGCCCCAGCAGGGAACTGCAGGCGGACGCCACAGGCCAGGGTCACAGAGCAGCCTTGAGGGGTCACGGGGAAGCTGAGAGGGGACAGAGTGGGTATCAGGTCAGACAAAGAAAGGCGAGTTTGAGAAGGGAGACCCCCGAGGCGTGGACAGGTGCTTCTCCAGCCCCTCCTCTCCCCCACACCATACCTGTCCACATCTGAGGTCAGCAAGAGTCTGGGCATTTCTGGGACCACGGGTGTCCCTGTGGAAAGACAGGCAAGTTGTTAGGGTGGTGAGGACAGCTGCGTCCTGACTGTGGTCTGCCCCTGCACGCCAACAAGCCTACCTGGGGGGCTGTGGGGGTCCGGGGGGGCCCTGCCCAGGGGGTTTCCTTGCAGGCGCACAAAGGGGGCGTCCAATAGCTCGGGGGGCACGTCCCGGAGCTGGTTGTCCCTCAGGTCCAGCCGGGTGAGCAGTGGGAGGCGGGCCAGGCTGGCGGGCACCGAGGCCAGAAGGTTGCTGTGCAGAACAAGGAGCCGCAGGGACCGGAGCCCCGCTGCGGGCAGGCACTGGCTTAGGGCCAGCAGAGGACTGCTCGGTGCCATCCCTGGCCTGGAGCACCAGGGCAGGCTGCTCCCACTAGGGCCTCCCAGAGAAGCCCTTTCAGTCTCTGCCCTGTGGCTGGACTAGAGAGCTCAGGCAGGCCTGTGCAGGGAGCCTCAAAGGCCAGGGAAGTTGGGGGCTGCCAAGGGGGAAAAGGCTCAAAAGTGGGCAAGCCTGTGTGTGCAGGGCCCCGCAGAGGAGATAGGGGCCACGGCAGAGTGCAGGCCGGGCAGTGGCCGACAGGCGCTCCCCAGGCCCAGTGAGCCAAGGCTGCGACTCACCAAGGGAGGTGGGGAGGCTCTGCAGCCGGTTGGAGGCCAGATTGAGCTCAGCAAGACTGCTCAGGCCTCCGATCTCAGGGGGCAGAGTGTCCAGAAGGTTCTCAGAGAGATCAAGGCGCTGCAGGGTGGACAGGGACCCCAGTGCTGTGGGCAGTGTTTCCAGGCGGTTGTGGGTGATGGCAAGGAAGGTGAGGGCAGGGAGCGCCCCCAGGGCCTCGGGCAGCTCTGAGAGGCAGTTATGAGAGAGCAAGAGGGCGCTCAAGCCACACATCTGTGGGACACAGGCTGGCAACGTCTCCAGGCTGTTGAAGCTCAGATCCAGGTGGGCCAAGTGGGTGAGGCCACTCAGGCTGGCAGGCAGCGTGGTCAGGGAGCCCTGGAGGCAGGCACCCAGAGCATTCCGGCGTTGCCCACCTGGGATGGGGGAAAGGCAGACATGACCCTCAGAGCCAGAGTCCCAGGTCCCAGCTCAGCCCTGCTAGCCATGGAAATAGGTGCATGGAAACAGAGACCTCCACCCCAACCCCACCAGACAAGGATCGACAGAGATACTGGAGAGACAGCAGCAGGTAGAGGAGGCAGGGACAGACAACGCAGGATCATCTCAGCAGATAGCCCCCATCCAGGAAAAATACCCACGCAGGGGTCTTCTGGGGACCCCACTGGGCAGCTGCAGGGCCCAGGAGTGGGGCTCAGCCAGCTCCCTCTTGGGGGAAAATGGGATGGGTAGAGCTGTGCAGAGAATAGTGGAGGGGCTGGGATCGGGTTTGCCCGTGAGGACCAAGAGGCAGAGGCAGGAGTTAGAGATGGGGTTGGGACAGGGCTGGGAGGAGGTAGGGCTCACCTTTGAGGACCAGGGAGCGGAGGCGTGGCAGGCTCCAGGGCAGCCGGGCCAGGGTGGCCTCCAGCAGCCGAGGGTCCTCGTGGCTGCTCAGCTGCAGGAACTCCACCTCCAGCAGCTGAGGGACCTGCTGGGCACACAGGTGCAGCAGCCGGTGGCAGCCCCTGGGGTACAGGTCCAGGCTCAGCCGGTTCCCAGCCAGGAGAGGAGGCACCCCGGGCCCTGCATCCACAGCATCTGCAGCATCTCTTGCAGCATCTTCTGCAGCAGCTGACTCGGTCTCCAGCCCCTCCGCCACTGCAGCCATCGCCCACCAGTCGTCCTCGGGGGCCAGACATGTCCCAGCTTGCCAGGCAGGCCTGCTCAGGCAGGGCCCAGGGAGGCTGCAAGGTCAGGGGGAGGAGTGGGTAGGAGGGGGCTGGGCCCTCCTGCCAGCCCGAGGAAGGGGGACTCTGGCTGGGGGGGGGAGCCCTTGAGCCAGGCCAGCTGGTTCAGAATCCAAAGCCTAGGCTGGACAGGTCATCG